CATGGGAGACGCTGGTACCCGAACCCGCAGCCCCAGCAGCCCCAAGGGACCCCAGCGCTGCCCAGGGCACCGGTGTCACCCATGGGAGACGCTGGCACCCGAACCCGCAGCCCCAAGGGACCCCAGTGCCGCCCAGGGCACCAGTGTCACCCATGGGAGACGCTGGCACCCGGACCCACATTCCCAGCACCCCAAGGGACCCCAGCGCCGCGCAGGACGCCGGTGCCCGCGCTCACCGTGCGTGAGGACGCCTCCGTCCAGCAGCACCTGGCACACGCCGACCGCCTGGCTCCGCGTTGCCACGCTCAGCCCCGCGCCCAGCAGCCAGTCCACCAGCTCCTTCCCCGAGCAGCACCGCCTGCAAGGGCGCCCAGCATGAGGGCACCGGCGAGGAAAATCCCGGCATCCCGACCATTCCGGCACCCCGGGCATCCTTGGAGTGCCCAGCCCCTTGACAGAGCCTGGAGCAGCCCACGGTGCCCCCTCCCAGTACCGTCCCAGTGCTGGGGGTCCCACCTGTGGTGCCGCAGGTGATGCTTGTGGTCCCGGATGAGGCCAGGGCAGGTGAGCGCGAGGTGGCTGAAGAGCAGCTTGCCAGCTCGCCAGATCTTCTCCGAGGAGGCCTGGAGGGCGGTGAGGACCGAGGGTCTGCGGAGGAAAGGGAGCCCCCCCGCGCGCTCCCCCTTGCCATGGGGACGGGGGTGCAGGCTGATTTCTCCGAGGGGTCGTTGGGCTGCTCCCCCCAAACACGGCCAAGGGTGCAATCCGTGCATAACGTGGTCCCCATCCCCGGCCCTTGCATGGACCAAGGCACTGAGCAGCCCAAAGCTCAACCGCGCCGAGCTGAGGACCCTGTGGCATCGGGTGCTCCAGGCCTGTCCTCCCACCTCAACCTTCAGGGCATGTTCCTCTGCCCCAACATCATCGCCCATACACAGGTCCTGAGCTCCCGGCTTGCGGATTTTCCCTGCCAACACACCTGGGTGAGGCTGTGTCCATAGTCCAAGGCCGATTCGCCGTCCAAAAGTGGGGTCTGTGAAAGCAGAGAGGAGGGTTGGTGAGTGTGGGGTCACGGCCACGACCCCCCAGTGTCCCGCATGGCCCCGGCACGCTCCTGCTTCACCCAAGGAGCTGAAGCTGCTCATAGGAGACATGGACTTCCCAAGACCTGGATTGAGCTCTCGGATCAGCCCCTGTGAGGGTCATTCCTATGGAGACACCTGAGCAGCCCAGGAGGAATTAGCCAGAGGCCCTGGTAAAGGGTTTTTGGGGACAAAACCATGACAGGACACCAGATCACAGGCCAGCCCAAGGTTGAGCAAGAAACAAGGTGCGTCTTGCAGCAGGTCATGACTTCCCAGGCCCTAATGGAGGCTGCACTGACGGAGATGTCCTCGATGCACTGGCCTAAATGGTTTTATCTATTTATCTATTTATTTATTTATTTATTTATGCTCCCCTTACACTTCTGGTCTCCACAACATCTTCCTGCAGTCAACACTGATCAACACCTCCTCCTTTCGCTCTAATATGCTCCTGTAACCTGCTGCAAGCAGCTCTGCACATCAAAGCTCTCCAGGCTCCTAAAGTCCTTTCCCCCGTTGCCCCTGGCAGGTCCCCCTGGGCCATCGCGTCCTCCCAGGACGTGTCACTTGTCAACGAGTCGTGTTGCCTTCAGAAGGGGCCAGCACGCCCATGGATGCTTCCACCCTGCTCAGAGGATGCTTCAGACCTTCCACCCAGGGCTTGATGGTGGCCCTAGTTGTGGATTCTCTACCTCCTACTCCTTGCGCAGATGACCCTGGCGTGTCCAGAGCCTCCCGTGAGGTCCTGGCTCCCCTTCTCTTTCTTTCCTGCTCTCCCCAGCCAAGACCCCACAGCTGGGAGCCTCCTTGTCACACTGGCTCCCAGCGCCCGGAGAAGGGACCTGCAGGGCCATCTCGGTGACCACGGAGCTGTGTCTGCCCCCAGGGTTGCTCGTGGATCCAAACAGGGGCTCCAGGGTAGCCCCTAGCTCCATGGGTGCCTGGCAGGAGCAGGGGGCTCTTGTGGTTGCAATTCCCTTGGCTCCTTTGGTGCTATCCTTTCCATCGCTCTCCCCCATCAGCAGCTGCTCAGCTGCTTTTTCTCCTGTTTTTGTTTTCCCCTCAGATGTTTCAGTTAAAAGAAAAGCAACAAAAAAAGGAAAGAAAACAGCAGCTCCACCACCTGCTGCTCAGAGCCCAGGTGACTTCCCACCCCTGCACCCTGGGGCCACCTCCCTCCAGCCACCCCGCGGGGGCAGAAACCACCAGAGAGCTCAGCGCCCACCCCGCTCCGCACTCCGCAAATCCACGGATGTTGCTCCCCTGCACGCGCCGACGGAGGGCAAACGGCGCCGGGCGAGCGACGCGGGCGCCCACGGCACCCGTCGGACCTGTTCTCACACTGGGATGGTCAGCGCCCGCTGAGTGCGAGCCCCGAGACGGCATCGGAGCGATGCTTCCTCAAGGTGCTTCCACCTGCATGCGGGTCTGCTCAAGGAGAGGGTTTTTGCAAGCTCCTGCTTTTATTGCCGGCTGCTCCGTGGTGACCGAGGATGGGAAATGACTTTCTCCATGGGGAAGGCTGCAAGCGTTGGCATCTTCTGGGCCAGGTGCTGCTGCCCGCTCTGTGCGGGCTGGGAAGGTGGCAGCGAGCCCAGCTTTAGGTGGGGAGCGTTGAGAGGGACAACCCGCGCTAAAGCTGCAGTGAAGGGAGCCAAGGGCAAGGGTTGAGGGCGAGGGCAAAGCTGCAGGGTCCTTCTTCTCCAAAGAATTCAAGGAAATATTCAAAAGGTTCAAGGAAAGGAATGCTGAGGAGCTGAAGGGAAACCACCTTGTGCTGATACCTCCTAGCACAGGGGGATGGATGCATGGTCCAGATGGACACATGCACGTGGGTGCGTGGATGGGTGCCCTGCACGACCCACCTGGCCACGGACTGTCCAGAGTCAAGCGGCCGGCCGCCCAGGCCATTTCCTAGCCCTGCAAGACCTCAGGTACCTCCTCGAGCTCCTTCCTTGCCCCAAGGCCTTTTCCTCCTCCTCAGAGCAGCCCAGACAAGAAGAGCCCCGGCCCAAGCCCAGAACCTGTTCATTTGCAAGATCCGCAAACGCTGCAGGTCCCGGGAGACGCTCCCAAGGTGGCCACTCCACTCCCGTGGTCGGGACACCGTGACTTACTCACTGTACAAACTTTCCCCGGCCTCGTGACTGCCCCGTGGAGCAGGAAACTCTCGGGCAATTGCAGAGCAAATGTTTGCAAACCCGAGGCGGGCAAGGTTGGCAAACCCAAGGCACCGCGGAGCTCCCTCCCGTGGGACCCGGTGGGCAAGGGCACCCCCTCCGTGCGCAGGCACCCACTGGTCCTCAGCACCTCCCGCATGTCCCACAGCCCCTTGTGAACTGGCCAGCACGGAAAAGCCCGATAAATGCCCTAAAACCCGTTCCTGGAGCGCGCTTGCTGCCCCGCACTTTGCTACGAGCCCATCCTGACTCAACAGGATGCCCGGCCCGCCCGGAGCGCCCGCCTAATTGTCCCAGCCGTCTCCAAGCGGCTTCCTAAGGAGTTGCCTGTTTCCATCTTCCTGCTGCCGGGACACAAGGGCATCGAGATCCTGCCTGTCTCCAGAAATCCGGCCGCCGCAGGCAGGCAGCCAAGGCCGGCAGCAACTGTTCCGCGCTCGCGCACCGCTTTGTTTGGGATTCCGAGGAAAACAACAGGAGCTATTTCAGGCTTTACGGCTCCGGAGAAAGTCCTCGCCCATCCGCAGCCTCCAGGAGCATGGCAGGGAGCCAGGCTGCTGCCTTCCCCCCCTGGACCCTTGATGGAGAAGGGGCTCGGGAGGGGTGATGCACCCGCAATGCCAAGGAATGAGAGCCTCAGTTGCAGCCTCATTGCTCAAGCCAAGGCTGGGACAGATCGGCCAGGCACAGGACATGGGCGCAGAGGTGCCCAGGAGGTGACACGAAGGCAGGCTCACCAGGAGGAGACCCTGCCCGTGCCACCGCACGTGCCACCGAGAGGGTGCTGCATTTGCTCAGATGGATGGTTAAATATTGCCTCTGCACCCTGCTGCTGTCCTGAGCTCGCCGGGTTTTGCTGCCCTGTGCATTTGGTTAAGAGAAGACATCAAGTTTCTACAAACTCAAGGAAAATAGGGGAAAGGGAAAGAAAAGGAAATCTTTCTTATTTGCAAAGTAACTTTAGCGCCACATAAAAATGCTAAAAAGAGGGGGTGGACGTCTCCTTAATCCATTAAGTCTCCTTAATGGATTTCTTCATTAAAATCTTTGGCCTCGGGTGTCCCCCTTGCAGCAGGGGGATGGAGATGGCCTGGAGCAAAGCAAGGTTCTGCTGGAACTGCCTGCTTGCACCGCTGGGACGGGTGCACGCGCCCGTGGCCACGCACGGCTGTCCCCTCCTGACCCAAAGGGGACAGCAAGAGGCCGCGAGCGGGGACGGAAGGTCCCCTTGGGAGCCCAGCAGCAAAGGGGGACGGCGCTGCCCCCCGGCCTGGACGATGCCGAGCCCTCTCCTGCTGCCAAGCGGCAGCTTTCGCCCTGCAGAAACACCCTGACCTGACGGGGAAGGAACATTTCGAACCGTGCGGAGGCAGAGCCGCGGGGACGGAGTTTCCTGTTCACACGCCCGGGGCTGTCGCGCACTTGGCCGCCGCTGCCCGGGCGCTCGGGGCCGGAGCACAATGGCACGGGGTTTATTTCATGCCTCGCTGCGAGCAACGCCTGGAGAAGGGCTGGGGGCTGCCGGCTGCAGGAAGGCTCTCCTTGCACGCCTCGCCTCGCAGCGAGCAAGCAAGGCAAGGGCGAGCAGGGTGCAGGTGGCACATCAGAGCCCTGGCACGGGCCACCTGCACAGGCAGCTGAAGGCTGGACCTGCCCTGTGAAACTGTGCCCAGAAAGCGGGTCTGCAAGCGGAGATAAGGTGTTGGGGCCCTGTGTGGGTCCCCCAGGTTCCCTATTTTGTTGTGTCCCTGTTAACATCCCTAGCCCCACGACAGCACTCAGCCCTTGCACTCAGCCAAGCAGAGCCCCCAACATGGGAGATGCTGCAAGGGGCAGTGCCAGGGTGGGAAAACCACCAGCTAAGGTGGGCTGGGGGGGTCCTTCTCATCTTGGGGGGGAGAGTCTTGGGGCTCCCTGCACGCAGCACCCCCGGGGCAGCCCTCGGTGGCCCGTGTTCTGCACAAGGGCCCGAAACGGGACTCACCCAGCGGATGCCCTGGATGCGGGGCAGGCTGCCCGCCTCGCCCTCCAGCCGGATCTCGTAGCTGGAGCTCCGGAACAAGTGCATCCTCTTGAGCAGCGCCGAGAGGCGGCTGCCGTCAGCGGCGACCCC